CCAATAAAGTTTCGTTTTTGTTTGGGGCGGTTTGTGTTGGGTGCTCTTGCAACCCAAAAAGTGTGACACTCCTGCTGTCACAGGACAGGCACATTTTTCGACACAGGCATTTGTAGAGCGTCATTGGAGCATGAGCAGGAGGCAAAGCAGTGTCTGGGATCCTGGCACCTGTGGGGGGGGGGGACACAGGGCACAGACACACAAGGCAGGACGCCGGGAGTCGCTGACACCAAGGACTCCTCTGTGATCTTGGCAGTTAGGAAGACCCCAGAGCAGAGGCACAGACTGCCTCAGAGCCCCGGGATGGTGACCTTGGTGACATGCCAGTGGCTGAGCCCTCACAGAACCTCACCTCAGCGGAGACCCCACAGAGTCGCTGATGGGCGGTCACTGGGCAGCGCTGAGGGCCCCCCAGAGCCCTAAGATGGGTGAAAGCAGGAGCCTCTGCGCCTCCCCCAGGTCCTCGGGGACCGCGTTGTAAAAGCCTTGACTCCGTAAAACGAACTCAGAGCTCTGAAACTCTGCTTCCCTAACGGTCCTGCGGGTCCTGCCTGGGCAGGGAGGGCAGGAGAAAGGCACAGCCTCCCGGGCCTTCCTCCCTTCCCAGATCCACCCAGGTCCCAAGGGTTTGTGCCCCAGGGACAGCCTCTGGGCCTCATGGGAGCCCTGGGTGTGTTTTGGCCTGTCAGGCCCAGGCCCCAGGAGGCCTCCCAGGAGGAGCAAAGGCCCAGAGACGTCAGCGGTGACACACAGCTCAGCCCTGATCCCAGCTCTGCCCGCCCTCGGGAGCTGTCCCCAGTGCCACTGTCCTTTCCCAATACTGCAGCACCCACAGGTCAGCTGGCTGCCCTTTTGAGATCGGTGGCCCACAGTGCAGGAAACACCATGGAGAAGTCACCGCGAGTGGGTGAGCACGCTATGGGAGCAGGCGACGGCTGTCTCCTCCCCTCACTGCACGTGTAGGGCAGGGCAGGTCCCAGAGCTGGGCAGACAGTGACCCAAGGCCACCGCACCTCCCACTCCCCCAGTGACAGTCCCGGCCTCCAGCTCCAACATGAGGGAGGCTTTTCAGTCCCATGAGGTATACAGCAGCCAGCGCCCTTGGTCCAGTGCCTGGGAGACCCCCCAGGGAAGGGCAGGCAGTGCCCTCAGCTTAGGTACAGCTGTCTCAAAATGAATAATTAAAAGGAGTCAGGCGCGCACAGTGGTCCACACCTATAATCCCAGCCGCTAGGGAGGCTGAGGCAGGAGGATCGCAAGTTCAAAGCCAGCCTCAGCAAAAGAGGCGCTAAGCAACTCAGTGAGACCCTCTCTCTAAATGAGATACAAAAAAAAAATAGGGCTGGGGATGGGGCTCAGTGGTCGAGTGCTCCTGAGTTTGATCCCAGTACCGAATAAATAAATAAAAATGAAGAGCTGGGAATGTAGCTCAGTGGTAAAGTTTCAATTCCTAGCACCAAAATAAATAAATACAAGGACTGCACGTCCTCGCTGTCCCCTGAGTAGCTGAAGAGTGGCAGGTGGAATTCAGGAACCCTGCCCGCAACATCCCAGGTGGCGGTGCTGAGCGAGCCTGGGAAACCTGGGCGCTAGCAGCATGGATAAACCCCGCGCCCGTTTCTGTAGGGTCCACACGTTTTGATGGGTCGACCAGCACCCCCAACCCAAGTTCACCCAGAGCCTGGCTGAGACCTCATTTGTAGTGAGGATCTCAGCAGGTGTGGTGGCTTCAGCTGTTGAGATGACGCCCTGCCTCAATGACCAGTGTCCTCCTGAGAGATGCCGAGGGAAGAAGGCACCTGAGGAGGCAGGTGGAGTGATGTGGCCACCAGGGGAGGCAAGGAAGGACCCTGCCCTGGATGCTGCTCTGTGGACACTCAGACTCCAGACTCTGGCCTCCAGACCTTGGGCATAATAAAGGTCTGTGGTCTTAAGCCTCATTTTTTTTTGGGGGGGGGGGGGTAATTTGTTCCAGAAGCCCCAGGAAGCTAATGCAGTGTGCCTGAGCTTCACACCTAAGAAGCTGGTCCCTGCGCACCAGTGGGCAAGCCCTCGGTGACGCCACTCTTTCCCAGTGTGCAAGCCCTCGGTGACGCCACTCTTTCCCGGTGTGCAAGCCCTCGGTGACGCCACTCTTTCCCAGTGTGCAAGCCCTCGGTGACGCCACTCTTTCCAGAGCGCTCTATCTAGTCTTGCAAACAAGAGCCAAGGAATCCCTCAACAATCCCTGGGCAAACGCCAGGCTCAGGGAGAAGACAGTGGAAGTTGATCCACGCCTAAAATGGCCAGTGTTTCTGGCTGGAATGACCAGGCACAAGAACGGGCACCTCGCCCGCCAAAACGGACTCCATTGAAAAGGAGCAATCAGTTTTACAGAGGAGAGGAGCTTCCTGAGAGGGCGGGTCGGAGAGGAACAACACCACTTATTTCCTTCTGTTGTTGCACATTGGTTGCTGTTTGGGGTGGTGCTGGGGATGAACCCAGGGGCGCTTCACCACTGAGCTACGTTCAGCCTTTTTTTAAAAATTTAATCCTGAGGGCCTCGCCAAGTTGCTGAGGCTGGCCTAGCTCTTGCGATCCTCCTGCCTCGGCCTCCCCAGTCACTGGGATTACAGGTGTGTGCCATCATGCCCAGCTCAACATCTGGGGAAGACCTCCCGGCTCAGGAAAGCTGCGCAGGGAATAAAGGTGCCCTTTCAGAGCTGTGGTTCTGCCCAGAAAAGGGAAGAGCCGGCTGCACACATGGCAGAAGGCAGCGGCACCCTGACCTCTCTGTCCCCTGGAGGCCGGCTGCCTCATGAACACCCGTGAGGGCGTCCTCGGGAAGGAGCCCCGACTTGGACAAGAAGCATGAAGAAATCAGAACTACCGCACACATTTATTGAGTGCTTTCTGTGTTCCAGACGCCGTGCTGGGGACTTTGTGACCACTTTTGTCCCACTACAACCCCATGAGGTAGGCACTGCTGTCCCCATTTAACAGATGAGGACACTGAGGCACCGAGAGGTTAAGTCACCTGCTTGAGGTTACACAGCTATGAAAGGAAGGCTGGGCTTTGCACCCTGGTCTAATGGCCACGTTGCTACAGGTCATTTCTGTCCTGATGGCAAGGGGCTGATGAGCAAGGAGGAGCAAGAAGCCTAAGCCAAGTCCAGCCCTGGCGGGCCTGGGGAAGTTTAAAAGCCAGAAGCTGGGCAGTCCCTTCCTTGAGCTACTTTTAATTACAGGCCTCCCCAAGGCAGGAGCAGCCTGCTGCAGAGGCTTCAGCGCAGGTTCCAGAGACTTCTACGCAGGACACCACCATGGACGTCGGCTGGTGCAGGGAAGGACGGTGCCACGCAGCCCCATTGCATCTAGAGGGAATGCCAGTCACAGGACCCCCTGTGTCTTGGCCAGCATGGCCAAGAAGTGAACCTGCCACTTGAGCAGGGACAGCCAGACTCTTCCACGAGAGCTGAGATGGGACGGCATCTCCCTCGGGGTCGGGAGCCTGCCGTTAACAGGTCTGGGCTCTGGCAGCCCCTTCCTCACCAGGTGGAAGAAAGGAGGCAGCCAGGGTGCAAAGAGGTCAGGGTCAGGAGGCCTGGGTGCAGTCGAGAGGCCTGGGGCTCCCGCATCCAGCCATTCCTGGAGCCAATTCCCAAACAGGAGACCCAGGGAATTCCCTTTGTTGCTTAAGCCAGTTTTAGCTGGGTTCAGAGGGACAACCAAGAATCTGAGACGCTCGCCCTTGCTGGGAGTGGGGCTGTAGCCCAGAGGTAGAGCACTTGCCTAGCACTCAGACACCCGTGACCTGTTGCCTTTTGGGGACCCAGGAAAGGAAAGGAAAAATGTCCTCAGGTCCCAAGGAGTCCCAATGCAGTAACTGGGGAAAGCCATGTCAATTTTGGAGCTGGTTCCTGAGTCAGGTCTGCCCCAGGGCAGACAATAGCCTCCCTACCAAGGGGAGTCCAAATGCCATGTGGAGACCCTGGATCCAGCCTTACCTGAAGTTAGACCTGGACTGGACAGGTACTTTGAATCCATGAATGGTCACCCTTTTGTGTTTAAGTCACTGAGCAGTGGGTTTCTCTGACTTACAATTTAAAAAAGGTCATAATCAAACAGCTCCCCAGGACAGAAAGGGGCCTCCAGAGGACAGAAAGGGGCCTCCACAGTGTGTCACCCCATCACTTCCTGAAACTTGGCAGAAGCCCTGGGCTTCCTCACCCTCTTCAAGGCACTGGTGGTCAGGGTTAGGCCCCCAGCAAACCTGGATATGGTTATGGCGAACCCTGGATACCGCTCCCGAGCCCAGTGGGGACTCAGAGTGCTGCTGTCCCTCAGACACTAAGGGGACTGTCCCTTCCCGATGCCCAGCATCTTCCCCTTCTTGGGGGACGGGCCAGTAGTCCTTGAAGCAGTTGCCTTTTCAGGCCGTGTGATTGGCTCCAGCACTGTGCATGTGATCCAGGCTGGCCAATCAATGCGGCGCACCCCAGCTAAGTCACAGTGATTGGTCTAGGTTGGGCACATGACCCAGGACCAGCCTTCTCAAACCCCCAGTAACTATCACGGGTTCAGGAATGGGTGCGGGTCCCCAGCTGGGCGGTGAGAGGCAGTCCTGGGAGGAGGACTGGAACTTCTGGGAGTGAGCGGTTCCCTTCTGGGGGAAGGGACAGTGTGCCTAGCAGTGACGGAGACCCTGCAGGGGGTGGCCCTCCTCAGAAGGAAGCCCACGGGGCAAGCAAGCAAGTGGTGGTGAGGGGCTGAGCCTGGGGCCATGGCTGAGTCCCAGATCCTGCGAGACCCACCGCGCTGAGATGGACAGGCCTTTTGTGTCCAGAGGGGGTTCTGTCCCTGCCACCACAAGAGCCCTGAGCGGCACGCGGGCCACACTGGCCAAGGACGAGGTCCTCGCCATCCCGTCCAGACACCCCAACTTTTGGGACCAGACGCTCCAGCCCACGTGGTCCCAGGCCTTGGCAAGCTGCTTCTCATTCTGCACTCTTCCAGGTGGCCGAGGCCAGCGGGCTGCCCTGAGGGTCCGCGCCTGGCTATCTGGAGACCAAGGAGCTGCCCTGGGACTGGCCGGAGGAGGAGGAGGAGGTGGCGGCACTGAGCTGGGAGAAGCCACTGGTGCAGGATTCCAGGCTGGACATGGAGCCCCTGGGGGGAAGGGCACAAGTTACCCTCTGTTGATGCTGCAGGTGAGGCCCCAGGGCCCGTTCCTCAAGGCTGCTGACTGCCCAGGGCCCGGGCCAAGTGCAGAGGGAAAAGCAAGTGACACCATGAGTGCCCCCCAGTTCCCTGCGCCCCACTCCCTCAGGACACAGCCCGGCCTACCACAGACAATCCAGGGGCTTCCCTGGCCTGGATCCCTACCACGGTCCTGGGGCCCCCACAGCCCGGGGAGGCTCCGGCCCTCGCCCCTCACCCCTCACTCCTGGCAGTCGAGCCTGGCCTCCTTCCAGCACCCTGGACACACCTTTGTGGGTGCCGAGCCTCCGGGCAGCTCCTTCCCTCTGTCCCCAGCTACCTGGTTCACGTGGACTTCAGGTCAGAGCCATCTGGAGAACCCTCTGCCCGACTGAAATGTCCTACCAGTGTGCTGTCCACGGCAGCAGCCGCTGCCACTGAGGCCACAGAGTGGCCAGCACGCGGCTCGTGTCTTCCATTCTATCCGCTACTTCTGCGTTGCCACAGGGGCGAGCCGCTACGGGGCTGTCCTGGGCAGCCGGAGGGATTTGCTCCTCAAAGTGTGTGGGGACCAGCCGCACCCTGGCACCTGGGGCTTGCTAGGGTTCTGAACCAGAATCTACTGGCTGAACAGGCCCCTGGTGACCGATACCACACCCCGTGGCTCTCCACCCAGTGTCATTTCCCAGAGGGCCCCCCCCCACACACCCTCTGCCAGGTCCCTGCTCTGAGCCGACAGTTCTCTCTGCTAAGCCCCCAGCACTTGTTAGCCACGTGGCTTTGGGCCCAGAGCCCAGGCTGAGCGTGGCTTCCTGTCTTCCATCTGCGCCACACTTCCACGCGGTGGGAGTGCCCCAGTGGCAGACCAGGAGGGCAGCAGGAAATAGCCCCGAACTGACTTCTCATGAGGTCACTGAAGGAGAGGTGGCAAGGACTCTTACACTGGCCGGACCAAACAGGTTGGTGCAGAGCGCCCAGCCCACCCCGTCTCCACGCGTCCCCCTGGGGGGCCCCCCAGCACCTCCTTCCCAGGGCCAGGTGCACCCGGCTTCCTGCAGGGCTTCGTGAGGAGGGGGTCTGCTGCTCTGCTGCTGAGCGGGTCTGACCAGGGCTCCCCCAAATCCCTGCTGGGCCTGCCCTGGAGGAACTGGCCCACCGCTAGGGCAGAGCCCGGGAGCCCCAGGAGGACGCCACGCCCAGCACTGCAGGGCCAACCCGCCCTGCCCAGGCCCCGACCCACCTGAAGTCCTCGGAGGCTAGCACCTCGCAGTAGTAGAGGAGCTTGCACTTGGGGCCTGGGCTGTGCAGAGCGGTCAGGACATCGCCCGGGAGGCTGCAGGCCATGCTGCCGGGGGTGCTGTGCACTTGCCACTGGAGCAGGTAGACCCCAGGCCACCTGGTCACATGGGAACCCTGAAACACAGCAGCCATGCTCTGTGAGGTCCCCTGGGGAGGGGGACAGGGGCCGAGCCTCCCTGTGGCCAGGCCTGGAGAGAGAGGCTCTTGCCCTCTGTCCCCCTCTGCAGTGCACCAGCAAACTGTCCTACTAGGACCTCCCGAGGCCGTCCCTGCGGCTGCCCCACAACCTGGGGCCAGCTCAGTGGGGTCTGCAGACCAGGAGGATTAGAGAAGGGCTGAGTGGGGGCTCACGGTGCTTCCAACAGGTGGCTGGGGGGGAAGAGAGTGCGGCGGGCGGTGTTAGTTGTTAGGAGGGCGACTCTGAGGAGGGGTAGAGTGTTAGGGGGATCACGGGGTGGTGGGGGGCGTGGCAGGGGGCAAGTGTGACATTGGGGGGGCAAGGTGTGACGTGCAGGCAGCAAGGTGTGACGACGGGCAGCCCGGCACCCCGGGCCCTGCAGCCAGGCCCTAGGCTTGTGGAGCTGGCCTGTGCCCTTGTTCTCCCTGCCGCCCGGCTGCGATGGTGGTCAAGCACCCATTACGTGGACACCATGATCTCTCCCCTGCTGTCCTGCCAGGTCCCTGAGGCCAGGGGCACGTCTGGTTTGTCCTGCTGTGTTCCCGCAGCCCAGCAGGGGTGGCCGTCCAGTACGGCGGGATGAAGGAGCAGGTGACCCACGGAGTGCCAACCTGGATGCTCTCCCCCTCCCGGCAGACCAGCGGAGCCTCCACGCGGCTGTAATCCGTGCCCAGGACCCAGCCTTTGTCCATCAGCTGCCCGCTGGCCTTGGCCCCAGGCTCCCGCGGGCCCGGCTTGAGCGCCTGCTTGGTGTGGTACAAGCTAAAGACCACGTCCCCTCGCAGGATGTCGAAGTCCCAGGTAATGACCGACTCCCCTTCCAGGATCTCCAGCGCGACCTGTGTGGGGACAGAGCAGCTCTGGGAGTCCCAGGGGACAGGACAGCTGGGAGGGGCATGGGAGGTGTGGTGGGTGCTGCAGGGGTCTCGCCCCCAGTCACGAGGTGCGCCTCCTGGAGGGCAGAAGGGGCTGCTAAGGCTCCTGCCGTCCCTC